CTTTTGAGCAGGTTATCTGGGAACAAAGCAGGACAAGTCTGGGCACCTGAAGGATCTACTGCTTTCAAGTGTCTGCTTTCAGCAAGGTTATGTGCTGCTCTCCTGAGCAACATCTCTGACTGTGATGAAACATTCAACTATTGGGAGCCAGTAGGTGATTTCTTTAGTTTTCTCTTTTTGTTCTTGATTTTGCAGCATAGGTGTTATTACGAATCAAGAGACAAATAATATACAAGTGTCACTCCTAGTAAAATAGATGTATTTTCTTTTTTAAAAAAACAAAACAAAACAACAACAACAAAAAAACAGGCCTGGCACGGTGGCTAACGCCTGTAATCCCAGTACTTTGGGAGGCCGAGGCTGGTGAATTATCTGAGATCGGGAGTTTGAGACCAACCTGACCAACATTGTGAAACCCTATCTCTACTGAAAATACAGAAATTAGCTGGGTGTGGTAGTGGGCACCTGTAGTCCCAGCTACTCGGGAGGCTGAGGCAGGAGAAACGCTTGATCATGGGAGGCGGAGTTTACAGTGAGCTGAAAGCACACCGTTGCACTCCAGCCTGGGCGACAGAGCGAGACTCCGTCTCAGGAAAAAAAAAAAAACCAGAAATGGGGACTCCTTATGTCACTGAGGCTGTTATCGAACTCCTAGGCTCAAGCGATCCTCTTGCCTGGCTTCCAAAGTGTTGGGATTACAGGTATGAGCCACTGGGCCTGGCCAGTAACATGTTTTCACTTTTGTATTCTAAGCAGATGATTTACCTGCTATTGAAGGCTGTAGGGAATTTAGCTGGTTTACACCAAGGTCTAATTTGTAATTTTCTTTTTTTTTTTAAATGAAAATAATACCTGGAGATAGTTTTTAAAGTTAACAAATACTAAAATACCTAAAGGAAAAACAGTAGCTTTCTATTCCACTTCTCATGTCCAAATCCTACTTTCCAGAGGCAACCACTTATTTTCACTTTCTTTTTTTTTTTTTTTGAGATGGAGTCTCGCTCCACCGCCCAGGCTGGAGTGCAGTGGCCAGATCTTGGCTCACTGCAAGCTTCGCCTCCCGGGTTCACGCCATTTTCCTGCCTCAGCCTCCCGAGTAGCTGGGACTGCAGGCGCCCGCCACCTCGCCCGGCTAGTTTCTTTGTATTGTTTTAGTAGAGACAGGGTTTCACCGTGTTAGCCAGGATGGTCTTGATCTCCTGACCTCGTGATCTGCCCGTCTTGGCCTTCCAAAGTGCTGGGATTACAGGCTTGAGCCACCATGCCTGGCCTTTTTTTCACTTTTTAAGTTATGTCTTATGGTTACCAAAATAGTGTTACTAAATAGTATGCTTTTATTGCTATTTCTTGATTTACACATTACCTGTTGACTTCTATTATAGAAAATTCAAAAGTAAAATTTTCTGATCACATTTTGAATTAAAAAAATAAAGGAAGAATGTTAAGTGTAGGTTGTTTAAGGAAAATACATAATTTAGAGGTTTTCTGTTTTGGGTAACGAGTGTTGAGAAAAAATAAGTAGAAGGTAAAATTCAAGCTTTCAGTGTTGACCAAACAGCAATCTTGTAAAATGTATAATGTCTTAATATTTAAAATATTGTATCATTTTGATTCCTTTTTTATCCATCAATTGCAAATCGCCTAGGCTGGAGTGCAGTGGCATGATCTGGGTTCACTGCAACCTCTGCCTCCTGGGCTCAACTGATTCTCCTGCCTCAGCCTCCCAAGTAGCTGGGACTACAGGCATGCATCACCATACCATGCTAATATATTTATATTTTTTTTTGTAAATATGAGGTTTTGCCATGTTGCCCAGGCTGGTCTTTAACTATGGGGCTCAAGCAACCTGCCTGGCTTGCCCTCCCAATGTGCTGGGGTTATAGGTGTGAGGCACCGTGCCTGGCCTGCCTTTGTCTTTAATATTTCTGCTCAGAAACTTCACTTGCATCTGCTTAACAGAGATTTTTGGCCAATATAACCCTGAATCTGTCTGTTTTGTATTTTTAGACACACTACCTCATCTATGGGGAAGGGTTTCAGACTTGGGAATATTCCCCAGCATATGCCATTCGCTCCTATGCTTACCTATTGCTTCATGCCTGGCCAGCTGCATTTCATGCAAGAATTCTACAAACTAATAAGGTAAGGGCAGACCAACCTGGAAGCAATCACAATTGATCAAGAGGTGAGTCTCTGGTATAGTTTTGAGAAAAGGACAAAATAGATTGGAAGTTAAAAGGGAACTTTTTTGGAAGAAGAATCATTTATTCACCATTCAACAAGCATTAATGGAACAACTTTTATTTGGTAGACACTGTATTAAGGCTGTGGCTATAACAATAACCAAGCCCCTGACTTAATGAAACTTGTGGTTTAGTGGAGAAGATGAACGTTGAAGAAATCATTCTAAATATGATGGGTCTTATGGAGGAAAAGTACAATGTACAATGGAATAGCATATTAGGAGGGTCTAATTTAAGTAGAGTGCTGAGAAACATTTAGGTGTTAACTGGGACCTAACCTGATTAGTTTTCAGAAATTTGACTATGATGCGTCTTGGTGTGGATTTCTTTGGGTTTGTCCTGTTTGGAGTTTATTCAACTTCTTGAATCTTTAGGCTTATTCCTTTTGCCAAATTTGGAAAGGTTTTAGTTTTTATTGTTTTGAATACTTTTTCAGCCCTGTTCTTTTTCCTTTTCTTTTTCAGAACTTTGATGATGTGAATGTCAGATCTTTTGTTATTAGTCCCCCAGGTCTCTGAGACTCTGTTTTCAATTTATTTTCTCTCTGTTGTTCACATTGAGTAATTTCTGTTCTTCTGTCTTCCACTTCACTGATTCTTTCCTCTGTCCCCTCTTCCAGTGTGGACCCTATCCATTGCATTTTTAGTTTGTTCTATGTGTTTTTTCAGTTTTAAAATTTCCATTCGGTTTTTCTTTCTATCTTCTAATTTTTTTTACTGAGACTTTCTCCTTTTCATTTGCTTCAAGCATATTCTTAATTGTTCACTGAAATATTTTTACGAAGCCTGCTTTAAATTTTGTCAGATAATTCTAACACCTCTGTCACCTTGGTGTTGGAATCTGTCGATGGACTCTTTTCATTCAGTTTGAGATCTTCCTGGGTCTTGGTATGACAGGTCATTTTCAGTTGAAAGCTGGACATTTTAGGTGTTGCATGATGAGATTCTGGATTATTCATGGGCTCAGCATGCTTTCTTTGCAGTTTTGTGCTCCTTGGATCTTATTTAAGCCTTCTGTTTCAGCTGGCTTCTTTTGATACTACTTCCCACTAACCCAGCAGGAAAAGAGCATTAGTGGGACGTTTCTACCTTGTTACTGCCAAGTGGAGGTAGAACTTGAGGTTCCCTACCAGGCCTCCACTGACATCTGAGGAAGGGGGTCCTTTTTGTTATTGGTGGGCAAGAGTAGGAGTTCTCACTCCCTACTAGGCCTTCACTGATACCGCCTTACAGGTAGAGTCCAAGCATCTTGACAGATTGAAGTTGGGTATGGAAGTCCAGGCTCCTAAAGTGGTTGCCACTGACACCATGATGAAGGAGAGGCTCATTACTACCAGTGGGGATGGAAGTCCTGGCTTCCTACCTGACCTCTGATGCATGGGTAGGAGTGGGTATTTCTCCAGGGTATTTGTCCTGAATGGAGTAGTTACTGTCTAAAAGTTTTTGTCATGCGAGGCTACCTTTTCTTTGGTCCTTTGGCTACACAGCAGACCTTGGTTGGGTTGTTTTTGTCTTCTGTGCCCATTGGCATTTTCAGTTGCCAGCTTTTCATGCCTAGAATACACCAAGCAAAAAGAAAACCCATGGAATTTACCACTGTGTTGTTTCTCATGTCCTGAAGTCTGTAGCCAGCCTGCTTTCTTCTCTCCACCTTCAGAGTCTTCTTAGGTTGGTTTTAAATAGATTGTCCAGAGTTTCTGGTGGTTTTTTTGGTTGTTATAAATAGAGTGTCCAGGAATAGGGGAAAAGTCCATTTTCCATGAAGCAGAAGTCCCTAACTAGAGAACTGAAGGATAAGTAGGAGTTGTCTAGGTAAGGGAAGAGTGGGGATGCGGGAGAAAGTTGGGAATAGTCTTCTAGACTGATGGCCCTGAGGCTGGGAAGAAGGACAGCGTGGCTTTCTTGTATAAACAGGTTTGACACTTGGAAGAGGGAATGGTGGAATAGATTAGATGAGACGAGAATTAAGAAGACACCAGATTTCTACAAGACCTGATAGGATCTATTAAGGTATCAGACTGTTGTTGTTCTTCCCACAAGTCTGTTGTGTGAAGCCACTGAAAGGTTTTCAGACAAAAGAGAGGTATGATTGCATTTGCATTTTAGAATGTTCAGAAAGGTAGCACCTGCAGAAAGTGACAAAAATACTATCCCTCCCTTCCATATCCAGTATCTCATTTCTGGTTTTTTTTTAAATGAAGTCTCACTCTGTCGACCAGGCTGGAGTGCAGTGGTGCGATCTCAGGTCACAGCAACCTCCATTTCCCAGATTTAAGTGATTATCCTGCCTCAGCCTCCTGAGTGACTGAGATTACAAGCTTGAGACACCATGTCTGGATAATTTTTTTGTATTTTTGGTAGAGACAGGATTTCACCATCTTGGCCAGTTTGGTCTCAACCTCCTGATCTCAGGTGATCCGCCTGCCTTGGCCTCCCTAAGTGCTGGGATTATGGGCGAGAGCCACTGCACCTGGCCTCATTTCTGTTTTTTTTTTTTGTTTTTTTTTTTGAACTTGTCAAAGGAAAGATAATAAAGGGTGAAGGGCTCAGTAGAAAACTAACAATGTGCTATGCAGAGGGTTGTCATTTCCACTTGGATATCTACTATCACTTCAAATTTTACATGTTCAACACAGAATTCTTCCTCTTCTCTAATCCTGTTACATCACTGATGTGCACAGCAAGTGAAATGGAAAGCAAGATTTCTCTTCTTCTCTTGTTCTGACTTCCGATCTCCTTTTTCCCAGCCACCTGGCAAAGGGGAATTGTAGCTTAGAGAGTCTTAGCCCCAGCATCATAACGCTGAGTACAGAAGGATGGTTGTTTCTGAGAGATAGTGTGGTAACAAGTGGCACCTCTAGTGATAACTACCTTCTCAATCTCTTGCTACCCCAATTGAAAGCACCTTTGTATTGTCTCTTCATGGACTTGTTTGTGAATTTCTCTGAAGTGTACACTCAGGAGTGAGATCCCACACATAGACCCATGGGCTTACTGAATCTCAGAGTTCTGCCAGATTGCTCTCCAGATGGCTGTACAACTTTATGTTCTCTGCAGCAGTACTCCAGGCTCCATCTTCCTCTCCTGAGCCTTTCTCATGTATGTGAGATGCTTCTCATTTTAATTGAATTTCTGTGATTATTAGTGAAGAGGAGCATTTCTTCATACATTTATTACTCATTTAGAGCTTCCTTTCTGTGAATTACACATTCACATCCTTTGCCTATTTTTCTGTTGGGTTTTCTATTTTATTCTTCCAATTTATAGACATTCTCAATAGTAACCCCCTATAGGTTTTAGATATTGCATATATTTTCTCTTACCTTTATTACCTTTGTCTGTGGTCCTTTGTTGAACAGTAATCTTTAATTCAATATGATCAAACCAATCCATTGTCTCTTGTGATTGGTGGATTTTGGGTCTTTGTAAAAGAAATCCTCCTTCACCACAGGTCATAGAGATATTCTTCTGTATTTTCTTCAATTAGCTTTTGTTTTTTTTTTTTGAGATGGAGTCTCGCTCTGTCACCCACTGGAGTGCAGTGGTGCGATCTCGGCTCACTTCAGCCTCTGCCTCCCAGGTTCAAGCGATTCTCCTGCCTCAGCCTCCCCAGTAGCTGGGACTACAAGCATGTGCCACCACGCCCAGCTAATTTGTGTATTTTTGGTAGAGATGGGGTTTTGCCATGTTAGCTGGTCTGGTCTCAAACTCCTGAACTCAGGTGATCCACCCACCTCGGCCTCCCAAAATGCTAGGATTCAATTAGCTTTTAATTTTATCTTTTACATATAAGGCTTTAATCATTTGAAGTTTATTTTTATAAATTGTGGAAAGATCCAGCTTTATTTTTTGCTATATGGTGAACTGGATTTTCTAGAACCATCTACCAAATAACCCACTTTTTCCTTCTGATTTGTAATACCACCTCTATCATTCACCTCATTCCCATATGTATATGGGTTCTTTCTGTTGTCTATTCTTTGTCATTGGTCAGTTTATTACCATATTGCTTTTATTATTATGGCTTTGTAATGTATGTCAGTATTTGGTGAATGAATTTCTTACATTGTCCTTTTTAAAATTTGTATTTTAAAAATCATTTTAGAATCAGTTTGCCCCTCACCCAAATTCTGCTAGGTTTTGATTAGAGTTGTACTAAATTTACCTATTATTTTGAGAATGAATTATTTTATTTTATTTTTTTGAGACAGGACCTTGCTCTTCTTCCCAGGCTGGAGTGCAGTGGTGCAGTAATAACTTTTTTTTTGAGTTTGAGGTGCAGCCTCAAACTCCTGGACTCAAGGAATCCTTCTACTTCAGCCTCTGGAGTAGTTAGGACCGCAGGTACATGCCACCATATCCAGCTAATTTTTAATTTTTTGTAGACTTGGAGCCTCGCTATATTGTCCATGCTGGTCTTCAATTCCTGGCCTGAAGCACATGCCTTGCCCCAGCCTCCCAAAGGGTTGGGATTACAGGCAAGTGCCACTGCACTCAGCAGAATTAACACTTTTATAGTGTTAAGTCATTCTGTCCCTAAAATGATACATTTATCCATTTAGTCAAGTTTTCTGTGTCTTTTAATAAATTTTTTTTATTAACCCTGAGTAGCTGGGGTTACAGACGCCCACCAACATGCGTGGCTAATTTTTTTGTATTTTTAGTAGAGATGGAGTTTTGTCAGGTTGGCCAGGCTGGTCTTGAACTCCTAACCTCAGGTGATCCGCCTGCCTCGGCCTCCCAAAGTGTTGAGATTACAGACGTGAGCCACTGCGCCCGGCCAGTTATAATATATATTAAGTAGTGTTTATGTTCTGAGAAATTCAGTGCTCTTAACCATATGGTATTCTGTAGTATAAAGCTATTCAGTATAACCCATATTTTATTATTTTTATTTTTTAAATTGATTGTTATCAATTATAAAATTAATAAAACCACATTACAGAACTTTGGAAGATAGGAGGAAAAATACTCACCTAAATCTACCAGGTTGTTATAGCTACTTTTACCGTTTTATTACATTTCTTTCCAGTCTTTCCATATGCATATAGTGTCCATTAGCTGTAACTGATGTATAAATAATATTGTATTGTACATTTTCACTTAGTATTTTGTCATAATCACTACCTGATGTATTATAGTTGTTGAAGAAGTGCTTGTTGAATGAATGAGCGTTGTATTGCAAGAATGTTTTCATTGTCTTTGTAACCATAAATTTTAATATCTGTGTAATTGTCCATGAGCTAGATGTAGCCTAGTTTATTTAATCATTTCCCTATAATTGAATATTTTGTAGTTTTTAAAACAGTTTTTACTAAAACTGCAATTAACATTTTTGTGAATGGAGCTCCACCTCCCAACCCCCACCAGCTGGAGTGATAGAAGTAGGTATTCTGATACTGAGTCAAGGGATATGAAAATTCTTAGTCCACGTTGCTTTTCAAAAGAATTACACCAATTTACAGTGTTACTGACAATAAATGAGAGTGGTTCATGTTTACGAGTTTTTCTAGCTCATATCTGTGACTTCTGTTTTCTTTTTCTGGGTTTCTTTCAGATTCTTGTATTTTACTTTTTGCGATGTCTTCTGGCTTTCGTGAGCTGTATTTGTGAACTTTACTTTTACAAGTGAGTATAAAAACTTTGCTTCTAAAAATGCTATGAGGAAACCCATTATTGCATAGATTATCTCTTGTGATAGTCTAGGCAGTGATTAGAAATAGAAAACACTTTGCCGGGTGTGGTGGCTCACACCTGTAATCCCCGCACTTTGGGAGGCCGAGGCAGGTGGATCACCTGAGGTTGGGAGTTCAAGGCCAGCCTGACCAACATGGAGAAACCCCATCTCTACTAAAAATACAAAATTAGCCGGGTGTGGTGGTGCATGCCTGTAATCCCAGCTACTCAGGAGGCTGA